GGGGGGCTTCACTCTATTCCACTTAATCCCCCTTGTTAGCCCTGCCCAAGCTAAAGGGAAAGTGGAACTCATACCTTTAACATCTTGTCCTCTGGAGGAACCCTTGGCCATTATTCTGCAGACCCCTGGTCCTGCTAGGTTTTCTCCTGGACCATGAACCAGGGACTGCCATTTTTCATTAGTGAGGAGTAGCCACTATCTATCTAGAAAAAGCTACTCTCTCTGCCTCCCTCACCTCCTGACTCTCTTTAAACCAAACATGAGTCAGTCTTCTTGCCTCCTAATGGCTGGAGGTAGGCTCAGACGTTTGGGCAGAGGCAATGACCCGGTGACCTATAGATCTGAGTGGGACAAGATTTATTTGTACGTGAATTCACCTTCTTCCCATTCACTCTCTTCTTTGTGACAGCCCACACGTGCACTCCAAGAATGGCTCTGCTGGTTTATGGCTCCTGCCTGGTACAATAGAATGAGGAAGGAGAGACTTCAAAACTGAGACATGAGAAAAGGAGGGAGGGCTTAGCCAGAGAAAGCAAGTGAGTCAAAATAGTAAAGAACTAGTAGGCAGATGAGGGCGGAGGAGAGAGAGAGGAACAATATTGTCAAGAGATTGGAGAAGAGTTTGGGGATCTGGCATGTGAGAGCCTCTGGGACAGCTGCGAGGTGGCAAAAACTGGAGTGTGCAGGAGGGAATGTGAAAAGTGTTTCTGGCTTATAAATTAGTCTCTTTAAAGTTCATCCAGAAATGCAAGTAAAGAACAGCTTTCTTTCCTTTTTTTTTTTAATTTCTTTTTAAAATCTACTTTTTAAAATTACTTTTTATTGCCAGATTGTGCTTTATAAGCAATTCCAGACATAGAACCAGGATTCACCTATATAATAAAAATACAGAATTTGGTGCTCGGGTATGATGGTTTTCTGCAACTTGCAAAAAAATCGAGGGATTATTGTTTTTTATCCCATGACCAGGTTCTTGTATCAGACCTTTCCCTTTTCTTTTTTTTTTTTTTTAAGATTTTATTTGTTTGACAGAGAGAGAGAGATCACAAGTAGGCAGAGAGGCAGGCAGAGACAGAGAGAGAGAGAGAGGGAAGCAGGCTCCCCGCTGAGCAGAGAACCCGATGTGGGGCTCGATCCCAGGACCCTGAGATCATGACCTGAGCCGAAGGCAGAGGCTTTAACCCACTGAGCCACCCAGGCACCCCAGACCTTTCCCTTTTCTTTCCCTCCCCTGGCACCCATAGGAATACAAAGGCAGGTCTGGAATTTCTGCCAACGGTGCCTTTTTATTATACAAACATCTGTTCGCGAGCTGCTCTGGGACACACAAAGATGAATGGAACATGGCCCTAAATTTAAGGGGCTCAAGTAGTCACAGGTGAGGTGGATCTATAAGAGCTGATTAAAGCCAGGCAGTTCACACTGACACAGAGAGAGAGGCAAGGCACCGTGCATTCTTGGAGGGGGAAATGCCCAATGCTACATGTGTGTTCAGAGTGATCTTCTGAATAAAGCTGCGCCTGAAGGGGTGAGTAGGGGTTGCCAACAGACCAAATGGAGGAAGGGAAAAGGGCGTTTCTGGCAAAAGGAAGAGCATATGCCAAGATGCAGAGGAGAAAAGAGCACGGTCCCTGGTGAAGCGTGCCGTGGTGGTGGCCTTGCAGCAGGCTGGGTAATAAGGTGAGACTGTAGCTGGATCACGTTCTACAAGGTCTTGTGTGCCAGGCGGAGGAATTAAGACGTGTCCTGTAGGCAACAGGGAGGGGAGCTATGACAAAGTACAGTAGTACAGTGACAGTATCAACTGCTCATGTTAGCACTGTACTTCAAGTGGACATAGCTTAGAGACTGGAGGTAGAAGGATAAAGTCCAGAGGCTTGCAGTCATATAGGGGAAAGCGAAGCATTTATGTAATAAGGCCGTGACAAGGAAAGAGAGAGGAGGGGTTGGGTCAAAAGGATAGTTTGGTGGTGGAAACGAAAGGATGAGGAAACTTGAATTGGACACAGGGTAACCGAGACAAATCGTTCTGATGGTGTTCCTATATTCCTTCTGTGGGCAACTGGTCTGTATGCCTCATTACATGAAATGGAGACTATGGAAGGGGGAATATGCTTTGGTTGGGGCAATATATAAAATTTGGGGAAGGTTAACTTCAAAGGACATTCAGCTAGAGCATGCTGTAATACAGGAGAGGTATCAGGCCAAAACGATGGCCTCTTTATGACCATCAACCTCTTCTACGTGGTGGACACAAGAAATACAAGGTATCAATGACAACCAATAGGGCCATTGATGAAAGGTGGACTGTTCTACAGGTTTTGTGTTATGCATTGATAAAATGCATTGAGGATAGGCTCATATTTAGTTACTAATGGCATGAATGTTTAATGGTGAGATGTAATGATATCTCCTAAGAAATGAACACTTTGTAGACTTAGTGTGTACTTACCAGGCTTGTGTTAAGAGATCTGAACAGGATTAATCTTCTTTCTTGGCCAAGCTACACCTGCATATTTTTCTTTCTTCTTCAGAAAAAGAGGCAGTTAGGACCAGTTGAAAGCAATGGGTTTAATGACAGAAAGAGAAAGATCTTAAAATCTTGGTTTCTGCTGTGAAGGGAGGTTGTTTGGAAGTTCACAGCAATGGCCAGGTGAACCTGCTAAGAGTTTTATAAGGGCCAGAGGTGAAAGAGCTAGTCAGAAGGCAGCGGGCCAAATTCCTGGTAGATTTCATTGTCTGAAAGTGATTTTCCTATATATAATACCACTATATAGGAACCACTCTCTACTGGTTGAGAGAGTGTGTGAGAAGGAGAGAAAGAGAGAGAGAGAAAGGATTAAAAAAAGAGACAGAACTGTTTGAATCCAGAGTTACCACCAAAATCCCCTAGTCTAAAATTAACCAGAGATTTGTTTCCATAATCTTTCTAGTCATTAATAATTTCGATTCTCATTTTTTTGTTGTTTAAAGATTTTATTTATTTATTTGACAGGGAGAGAGAGAGATTACAAGTAGGCAGAGAGCCAGGCAGAGAGAGAGGGGGAAAGCAGGCTCCCCGCTGAGCAGAGGGCCTGCCGAGGGGCTCCATCCTAGGACCCTGAGATCATGACCTGATCTGAAGGCAGGGGCTTAACCGCTGAGTGAACCAGGTGCCCCGATTCTCAATTTTTTTTAAGCCTTGCATCATATATACTGTATATAAATTTTTCTTTAAAAGCTCCTGGTAACCTTTGATATGAAGATTTGTAATTTGGAGGAAATTCATGTCTGATTTCCATTGGGTTGCAGGACACAGTGGAATCTATATGTCCATTCTTTCCCCCTCCTACAATTCTGTTTGCTGGTGATTCAAAAGTAGTTCTTTATTTTTAATCTTTAAACTATCCATTTTGTAATTTTCTGATGTTAGTGAGTTGACATACGGGTCCTTTTTGATCAAAGATTTCCAGAAAGAAAAGCAAACTCTGTTCACAGATCATTCAATCAAAACACAGGGTATACTGGGACTGTCTGAGACCATTTCATAGAAATTAAATTCTGTACCTTCCATGTTAATGTGCTGTGCTCTCAAGGTGGGTTAGGAAGACCTGCTGGAGGATTACGGCAGGACTGGATTAAAAAAGGTGGAGCTGGGGATTAACTCCGTTGGTTAGGGAGGATTAGCTTTCGGTGCACTGAAAACTAGAGAGAGGTTTCTTAACAGCACTGCAGGGATACTGGAAGGATTTTCCCATGCCCCCAGGCCATGTTTAATCTGTAGTTTCCCCCAAAGCAGCTTGTATTAATACTGAGGCTGAATAAATTGTCACCAAGATCATGGGGGTATAGTGGTGAATGTACTAACTTTGGGGAATCCAGAAACCAAGGAAAGGTCCTGATGTGACAGCTGATGATCAAAGTCCCATGCTGTCTCTGAGCTCCCACATCCTCTAAGAATAATAGGAGCTAATACATATTGAATGCTTTCTAAATCCCAGGAACTATGAGCATTTTGTATACATCTCTTTAATCCTCACAGTCTCCTGTGGGCTGGACTATAATCCTCTCTGTTTTGTAGGTGAGGAAGTGAAAGACCACAGAAGTTAGTTTCCCCAAGTTCATATGGTCAGTATGACCGCTTGGATTCCAATCCTGGTAGACAGACTCCCTTACCCTGAACATTACACCGTGTCCTAAAATGAGGGAAAAGGATTAGAGGATGGTGAGGGTCCATAGAGCCCTACCAGTGTGAGTCTGTGAGGGTGTAGGTGGGGGGCAGAGGCAGAGATCTCTTTCTAGGCTGGGAATACACACCATTCAGATCTTGCCCATTCCCTCACACCACTGAGAATCTTTTGGGAATATGTCTTCACTGCTAGGCTACAGGTAGCAGTGTGGGACTTGGTTTGGCTCCGGTGCCCCACAAGGATACTTAATCAGGGCCATTCCTTTCTGAGCATGTGGGTTAAGATCTCAGTGGTAGTGGGACCTTGGAGAAATGAAGCTGCCTGAATGTTGGCCACAGAGCAAAATGCTGCAGCAAGAAGCTGCAAGCTGCAGGCTCCCAGAGGGCTGCCTTGAGAGGGACCACGTAAGGCAGGAGCAGCCATTGAGGCTGGTGCTGGATTTCAGGGCCAGAACCTGGCCAGCGGCTGTGGCCCCCCAAAACCAGCAGCAGCAGCAGCACCATCACAGCTGGCCAGTGCAGGCTAAGCAGCCGACTGCAGGAGGGAAGCCGGGGGACGGACAGGCAGTGGCTGGAAGCTGTCGTGGAGGTGAGGGGAATGAGAAGGGGGAAGGAAGGAACAGAGGTACCAGAGGGACTTGGAACAAAGGGGGAGCGGGGTTCTGGTCACACTAGTGTGAGCAGCGCAGGAGGAGGCGAAAGCGCGAGCTTGAGTGAGAGGGAAAGAAGCAAGCGGCGAAAAGCTACCCAGAAGAGGAGGAAGTGGGAGATGCGCCGCTTCCTGTAGAAAGCACGATGATTGAAGACAAAGCTGGGTGGGGACTAGTCCCTGGGCTGCAGGCGCCGCTGCTACACACGCACAGCGCACAGCGGCGGCCGCTCCGTGGCAGCTCCTACTACTGCTGGGCTGGGCGGCGCGGGGCGGGCTGCGCGGGGCGGGCTGCGCGGGCTGCTCCGGGGCTCGCCTGCACACTTCGGCTCCCACACAGGAGACCGGCCGCTCTCCCACCAGCCGCGGGCGCCAAGGTAAAGGGGACGCTTTTCCGCTTGCTCCTTTTTCCGTGAGAAAGGGACCACCGCCTACGGTTTTTCGGGGCAGATTTCTGAGGGAAGATAGGGACTTGGCTTCAGGATTGGGGGAAAAGGATTAGGATGGGTTCTTTTAGAAGGGCTTTTGAGAATGATCAAATTTGTAGCACATTCGCCTTAAAAAAAATCATTGGCGTCCAGCTTTAGTGATTCGTCAGGAAAGCACGCTACATGCAAGGAGACCTTTGCATAGTTCTCTTGGAAGAAAAGCGGGGATCAGTTGAAATGAATTGGGGCTCTGAAGCTGTGGGCTCATCATCTGAGCGTGGCAGTCCCCTCATTTTGAGGGCGTAAATGGTGGAAAATGTTGGTTGCATTATCTTTCTTACATATTTCACTGAGGTGTCTTCTGTTTTGCAGTATAATGATAGATTTTAGTCTTTTTCTTTCTGTTCTTTCTTTCTTTCTTTCTTCCTTCTTCTTCTTCTTCTTCTTTTTTTTTTTTTTTTTTTTTGTTAAATCCTTTTGCACTCAGGATTTGCCAACAAAAACTGGAATAGCGTATGCGAGGGACAATATTTACCATTTAAAAAAAAGGTGTCTTCCTCCCTGGGCTCTGTGCAGCTGCTTTCAGGGTAGCCTCAGAAACAGCTCCCATTTGCCAGTAGGTCTCCTCCTAAAGTTGCATCTTTTCTCAAAGGAGCCTGGCGGGTTTAACTTGTCCAGAATCAGATATGTATGAATTTGATGTTTCTATGGATTTTATTCATCTGTAGGTCAAGACACATATTAACTTCAGTGAGGGACAAAATGTGGAAGTGGAGCAGGGTTATTTCTTTACCTGTATACGCTGTAAGCAGAGCCAGATAGTAAAATCAGAATGCAATTTTATTCTTTGCTTATCTTGAGCCATGGGTCCTGTTAATGAGAGCCCATAACCATGACCTGTTCAGATTTATGAATGATACGTGAAAGTCCAATAAATAGGTCTAACAGACTGGAAAATGACATTGTGAGATTTCTTTGGCAGGATATGGAGGAGGAAGAGTTTAAGACCCTAGTGAAGCATGATTTAAGAAATTAAGCTTTGTCTCCAACGTAAAGTGTGGGTGAGCAATAAATGGTCATTGAAAAAAGGTTTTTTTTTTTTCTTGAATTTTTAGAATGAAAGGATTAGAGGATTTTCAAAGGAAAGAAGGAATTGCTTATAGTGGAGTAAAAAATAGTAAAAAGGTCATATTTAGATACTCAGATTCTTAAAATACAGTTTTTAAATCCTACATATGCCATTGAGAGTGAATATGCTTCCTCCTTTGTCTCCATTCTCAATTATGAAGAGCTGTAAGCCCTCTTTTTTAATGCCATCTTTCTGAAATCGATTTGGTGTCTCAAAATTTGTGGTGTAGCAGCACATTTTCAGAGATAAGAATCCTTAGTCACTAAAAAAAAATGTCACTTTTTTGAGCTTACTTATTAAATTAAACTTGTACTGTGCCTAAGGGGCAAAATATCGCTGGTGTGGAAACCATGGAGTTTCCTTGCGGATTCATTGAATTTAATCAAACCTGTAGGCGAGATAAGTCATTCCCTTTCTTTCACAGTTGCACCTCCCATTTCCCTCCTAAAGAATAAAATATGTAAAGATAATCTTCCACGGAGGAGATGGAGGGTAGATCTTGGATCCAGAATGCCCCTAATCAGAGTTCCATGATCAAGCTGCCTGTCATTAAATGAAGTAGAAAGTTGGGAATCTGGACTGTATGAGGATGGGGCTCCCCCCTTGGTCCTTACTCGTCTATGGGCTGGATATTCAGTAGATCGTGCTAACAGCCTGCTTTGTTTGGGGATGTGTACACAGTCTGTGTTACTCTCCTCAGTGTGTTTCACAAGAGTGAGAAAATGAAACCTTGGCCCTTAGGCACAGGGGAGTCAAAAGGACCCCCCATTCTCTTTCACAAAACAGCTGAGAGTTGTCTATTTTCTGCACCGCACAAAACATTTCCTTAATTGTTCAATTCCATCTTGAAGCACAACATTAGTGAGTAACAGCTGATCAGTAACTGTGATGGTAGAAGGTTTAGGAAAAAGATAAAAATGCTTCAGTGCTATAAAATGAGACTCCTTCCACTTGTTCTGGCCATATGGAATATTGAAAGACATAATGCTTTTGCTCAGAGTATTCTGGGGCCTTTGAGGTAGTCGACCTACACTGAAATTTTAATCATATGTTTTTTTTTTTTTCTGCCATATGGCCAATGGCTGAGTGGAAACATGACTCCCATTATTTTGTGGCCAGCCCTGGGCCTCATATGGTAGGCACAGAGTGAATGTATGTGGTTGACGGACTTTTTTAGCTCACCTCAGAAGGCAGGTCTAACTTTTAAGTATAAAAGCTCTATCGTCAAAGCAGAAAGCCAGTTCAAAAAGACAGCTGTGGGTAAAATAAAAGAACATCGAGGAGTGAAAAGAACACGGGCTTTGAGAGTCAGGCAGATCTGCCTTTGAATCCTACCGTTGGTTTTTACTATTTGACCTAGTACGTTAACGTATAAACTTTAGTTTCTTCGTTGTAAAGACAAGCTAATAGTGCATAATCAAGGTTTGATTTTTGTTTGTGTTGTGGTGTTTTGGTTTTGCTTTTGTGTGTGACTATGTGAGTGCCTGGTACCTAGTAGGTACTCAGATGTCAATTTTCCTTCCCTGGTGGCATAAGGAAAAGTTAGCATGTTGTCTGCCTTTGCTACCACCGCCAAGGTTCCAGGAGACATTTTTTTTTTTTTCTTTATTGGGGTAAAATATGTATAACATAAAATTTCCCATTTTAACTATTTTTAAATAAATCTTCTGTGGCATGAAGTATATTGACATTGTTGTATAACCATTACCACTTATCCACTTGCAGATCTTTTTCATTTTCTCAAACTGAAACTATTCCCACTAAACAATAACTCCCCATTTCCTTCTCCCCCCAACCCCTAGCAACCGCCATTCTACTCTCTGCCTCTAGGTACCTCATACATGTGGAATCCTGTAGTATCTATCTTCTCCGGCCTGGCTTCATTCACTTAACTGTAATGTCTTCAGAGTTCATACATGTTATAGCAGGTGTCAGAATTTCCTTCTTTTTTGGGGCTGGATAATATTCCATTGTGTGTATATGCAATGTGTTGTTTATTCATTCATCTGTTGGACACCAGGGTTGCTTGCATGTTTTAGCCGTTATAAATGATGCTGCTGTGATCATGGGTGTACAATTATCTGTCTGAGTCCCTGCCTTGACTCTTTTTGGGTACCCAGAATTGAATTGCTGGATCAAATTATAATTCTACTTAATTTTTTGAGGAATGACCATACTGTTTTCCATAGTAGCCGTACCGTTTTACAATCCCATAGCAGTACACTGGAGTTCCGGTTTCTCCTCACCCTCACCAACACTTGTTATTTCTTAGGGACTTTTGTTTTTCTTGATAGTAGCCATACTAAGGGGTATGAATTGGTATTTCTTTGTGTTTGACATTTGCATTTCCCTAAGGATTAGATGTTGAATATCTTTTCGTAGGCCTAGTGGCCATTTGTAAATTTTCTTTAGAGAAATGTTTACTCAAATCCTTGGCTCATTTTTTAATTGGGTTGTTTTCAAGGAGACATTTTAAAATGGATGCATCTTAACACAGTGTGTCCTAAAGATCCTGATTATAATATTTGAATTTCATCTCCTGCATATACCAGTATTATCCCTGCCCAAGTAAAATACTTCTCTCAGAAGTAACTTTTAAAATCAAAAGGAGAAAGTAAGAAAATCTGCATAGCTCCTGATAATTGGTGATATCAAGAACCTGATAGTGAAATCCAGTCCCTTATTGTAGACAGTCACACTAGTGACACTTCTGGTCACATGTGGACCAGGCTACTACAAAGGAGGCGTTGGGGCATTGTCCTTCCAGCGTCTTTCTAGTTTCTTCTCATCAGCTGGATGAGAAAGAAATGCTCAATAGTTGGCAGTGTCAGGAAAAGGGAAGAGCATCTGAAGTGCTAAATTGTTTTCCAGCTCTTTGTAATGGAGAGGATTAACCTATGGAGAAGGGGCTATAATCGTTAAATAACAATAGATTTCTGAGAGAGGTTTCTACTAATGTAATGGGATTCTAATCTGAATTTCACTTTTGAAAATGGAGAATCCTTCTGGGTTTCATTTCTCACTACACATTTCACCCCTGATTCTGAAACTGGTGAGGCAGTGTATGGCCAGGGCTGAGGGGAGTTGGACAGGAAGATGAAGGGGGGCTCTGTTAAGAGAAACAATATCTGGGATTTATGATGTTGGTTAGAGGTTGACCTTGAATGGTTTGAAGAGCTCCTGAATGATCATATGTGAAATTCTTGTAATGCACTCTTTGTGTGTGTTGGTTGGTTGAATAATGAACCCCATTTTGTTTACTTTGCAAATTTGTTTTTTCTACAATTACTGGGTTTACTAGATCCAGGTGGAGAAGGGAATTACAGAATTATGTTAAGACTTAACCCCTGGCCTGTGACCTCATGGAATGGTACAACTGAAAAAGACCTGGGGATGAGCTTGGCATGTATCAAACTCTCCATGGGGGATAATAGAAGTGGCCCAGAATTTAAGTTACCTTTTTAGAGTTGCACAGATGATTAATACCTTGCGTTCCAGTTCAATCTCCATTTCACCTCCCTCCGTGTTAGGTCAAATGGACAGAGAAAGTCTTTACACTTTGTCATTTTTTTAAAAATTTTAAGACAAAATTATTTTCTTTAAAAAGAAGACCATAATGTTTAAATTTAACATTCTATATAAGTATGCAGTTTCTGCATTCAAATTTATTTCAGTGTAAAGATGGCACAGTGGAATTTGAGATTCAGATTTTCAGGTAAGAGCATTAGAGATATGTAATGTTCTCTCAACCTCTTATGTTAAAGAAAATAAGTTGTATTTAATGGAAGTCATTGTTCAGACAATCCCTAGGGGACTTCAT